GTCCTAGGATAGGGTCCCATAAGATCAAGGACGATAGTATCCCACGGTTTATCGGGCTGTCGGGGTCGAAGCGGGGCTTTAGTGATTCGCTGCTTTTTGCTGCAAAATTTACAAATCTGTCGTGAATAATTAGACAATACGCCGACGTTTTAGCAGCTACATCTTCAGCAGTTTCAAATCTAATCGAATTTAACTGCACCGTTTTTAACCGTTTCACTTTGATGTGAGCAATCAATTACCGCTAACGGTGCACGTTTCTTAAAGAAATCTGGTGTAAGCACAGGTTCGGCGCTGCTCTTATTCCAATAATACGACTGTTGAAATTTGCTATACATTTGGTATAAAATTGGAAATTGTTTTTGCCGATAATTAGCATTGATATTGTCATATGGATAAATATCAGAGTTTAAATATAATTTGATAGACTTCAAACTGCAATGATCAAATTGCGAATTATCCGATTTCGGGTTATGTTTTCTATCGATTTGAAAACCTACGATTATAAATCGTGGTTTTTCTAAATAAGATGCTGATTTAACGGTCCACGTATGACGTGTTGTCTATTGCAGTAATGGATATTCATGTAATTCGCAACTTTTGAATGTGATTGGAAGAGTGACATTTTTTTCAATATAGTCCAATAATTTGATTTTTTCGTAATCGGAAACAGTTACGTGAGGCATTTTCCATACAATTTTATTTATTTACATTTTACCTTTCTCCGCCCCACTTTTATCATAAATAGACTTGAGAGAATAATTTTTTTAAAGTCCTCAGCAAATCCTAATAGCATTCTCAGAGGTATGCATACTTCAAATTCTTTTGTTGTTGGATCGAGTATGACCGCAGCATCATCTTCAAGTGGTAACCAACAGGTATTCTGTAAAGCGACCATTTCATTTCCATTGTAAGAAACGTAGTTTTTCAGTGTAGTTGTTATACCAGGATTTTTCACACGATAATTACTACTCCACCCAGTTCGTATCTAATCTCTTCAAACAGAAAGGCAAATGCATTGTTAATTAACGTAACAGTTGTCGGTTTGTTTCCATCGGTTTTTATTAATTTTCCTTCCAAATGTAGAAAACTTTCGCTCGGTAACGTTAGAATATCTTGTTGTTGTATCGGAATTCTGATTTCATCGCTGTAATTAAATGTATTTGCTGCATACGGTTGATGAGAATGTAATTCGATATTTGTTATCGAATTATCGAAGTTAATTTTTTCATTAACTTGTAGTATATTCATCATTTTTCTTTTTTGTTACTTTTTCAATTTGAAACCGAGTGATATTAAAAATTTTTTGTTTTCTGATGTTAGTCTTTTAGACTCTTCTTTATGACTAATTTTGTTAATTGTAGCTGGTCCATATATATCTTCACTGGTTCTATTGTCGTTGTTACTGCTACCATTAAATCTTACAACCATATCTCTTTTTTTCTTAATTTACTATCTTTCTTAGATGTAGTGTGACTGTTATAACCTCCTGTCTGAAATTAACTAAGTTCCCATTTTGGTCTACTATTTTAAGTGTTATATTATTTATAATGTGAGTGGTTATCGGTAAATAAATAACATTATTTGGTTTCTCTACAATTTTATATCCAGGTGGAACGGTTGGATAGAATGCATGAATCGTATGTACCGATTCACCGTTCGTATAGGCATTTGTAACAAGATTACATTCAACACGAATTATATTTACTGGTATAATATTGATTGGAAAATCAGAAATATGATGTCTATCCTTTATTAGAATTTTTTTATTAAATCCCAACAATTGCCCGATTGAATCGTCTTTTGAAAAATCAATATCTTTTGTACACTTTATTTCACATTTTAGCGTGTTGTTATTTGCATGAATTCGCAATACTGTATCATTTTCTTTCAATAATTTCAACTGGCCCTGTATATAGTCGTTTATATCTTTTACTTCATAACTCCCTATAGGTATTTCTATTGCTCTAGTTTTATCTTTTTTCTTATCAATTATCTTTGGAGAAAGTTTAAGAATTTTATTAGTTCATCATTGTCGTTATCACTGTCATCCACAATGTAATTAAATTTATTATTTTGTAAATCAATGTTAGGTATAACGTTATTTACGTCAAGGTCTATTTAACCAATCTCCTCCTTTCACATCTACAGCTCGAATTTATTGCATTAGCTATTTGTGCCGCTCCACCACCTAACGCCCCTAAAGCACTTAGTCCAGCAAATATTGGAATTAGTGGTAAAATACCGCCTCTTTTAGGAATTTTAATTACACGTGGTCTTTTCTTTCTACTGTTACTACATGCAATCGTTTTCTTTGCGGCTTGAATTGCTGTCTGAATTGTTCCAGAAATATTTTTAGGTTTCTTTTGAAGTATTTGTTTCTTTATATCTTTAACGAGAGTCCACTAAAAGTTATTTTACTCTGTTTTTGTTGTTTTCTTTTTGATGACGTTGATTGTTTCTTTACTCTCATATTGNTCAGGTACAACCCTCTTCCTCCTTTCACAGCTACAGCTTCCATTTCTCGATTATGTCTTTGATCTTCTTCAAGTTTGCGTTTTGCGTTCCTAGCCGAATTTATTGCATTAGCTATTTGTGCCGCTCCACCACCTAACGCCCCTAAAGCACTTAGTCCAGCAAATATTGGAATTAGTGGTAAAATACCGCCTCTTTTAGGAATTTTAATTACACGTGGTGTTTTCTTTCTACCATTACTACATGCAATTGTTTTCTTTGCGGCTTGAATTGCTGTCTGAATAGTTCCAGAAATATTTTTAGGTTTCTTTTGAAGTATTTCATTCTTTATATCTTTAACGAGTCCACTAAAAGTTATTTTACTCTGTTTTTGTTGTTTTCTTTTTGATGACGTTGATTGTTTCTTTACTCTCATATTGATGGTGTTGTTGATATTAATGTTTTACATTTTTATTAGGAATATCAGTTGTTTAATTACTAATATTATCATTACCAATTTTCAAATTTCAATTTTCTTTTTTGAGACTTTTTGTGGTGCATAACATCTTAGTCATCATTATTAAAAAGTTATAGTTACTGTGCAATATTTATTTTTTTTACATTATTATTATCAGTAGACAGATTTTCAAACAACGTGAATGATATAATTGGGTCAAACTTCCTTTTAAAATATTCAGCAGTTATATATATTGAAAAGTTTGAATCCGCAAATTGCAATAGGTACCGTTGGAATCAAAGTACGATTATCTACAACGTGACTACTCCACCTCCTGAAACAAATTTTGCAGATTAGACACTAACGAAGAATGTGTTGTTATTGTCCTCGGGTACGCGCTCGTGTAGGTGCTTACACAGCAAATACTACTGTTCAACAAACTTTGTAATACCTAGTGTCTAATTTTATAACGTTATTGTTAATTAATAGAATTTATACTATTCTACACTGATTCTATATATCTGCTACAGTTATTCTCTATCGTAATTACTATTGACACTATTATTATTATTATCAGTTGGTTTCTTAAAACCACTTGATATATCCATCCTGATGAAAGATCATTCTTGCTTTATTTCTGTATTATATTTTCTTTTTACGTTTTTTCTTTCGATTTACAATTTTATTCGCATTATTAGCGTTGGTATTTGTGTTGGTAACCACTTGATCTAAATGTTCTAAAGTTGATAAAATGCAAATTTTAGTCTTCTCCAAGTTTCGTTTACATTTTTTTAAAAAAAAGAAATGTAACCTTTCTTAGCATATTGTTATTGGAATTATTATTATTTTTATAAGTCATTCCCAATTTTATCTTAGCTTTCATAGCACCAGCCACTCCTAATGCTGCCATCTTTTCACCAATTGTTGAATTGTTTGCCTTCAATCGTTTTAATGCTTTTTCAGCTAGTGTCCTATCAGCTTTGTGACGCTGATAGATATCTTTTTCCTGTTCATAAAACAGATCATGAGCTTTACACGCATTATCCAGTTCATTTATCCCCGATTGGTTTCTGCGTTTATCAAGTTTAGTATTAGGACCGCAAAAGTTATAGCCCGGTATATGTAACTCGTATGGTATGGAATAAAGGGTTTTATCTAAAAATCCTTTACCATATCTCATTATATCTTTGTTATGATTAACGATTACTGAAATGAACTAATATAAAAAGTGGAATAGAACATCATTTTATACTAGTCGTAGAAGGTAGGTATATCTGGAAAGATGAAAGTAGTAAAGCAGAAAACTACATTCGATATTGAAAATAATGATATGTTAATAAATCAAGTTGAAAAGCATAGCAAATTATTTCCTACAACATTACGATGTCTCATTATTGGACCTTCAAACTGTGGAAAAACTAATGTAATGGTTAGTTTAATTGAACATCCAAATGGTTTAAAATTTGAAAATGTTTACGTTTATTCAAAGTCACTCTATCAACCTAAATATGTTTATTTAGAAAAATTACTGAAGCCGATAAATGAAATAGGTTATTATTGCTTCAGTATTAGCGAAGATATTATGAATCCATCAGCAGCTAAAACAAATTTTATATTTATATTTGATGACGTAGCAACTGATAAACAAGACGTAATTCGTGAATATTTTAGCATGGGACGTCATAATCACATCGACTGTTTTTATCTCTGTCAAACCTACGCAAAAATCCTCAAACACTTGATAAGAGACAATGCAAATTCGTTAATTTTATTCAAACAAGACGAATTAAATTTAAAACACATTTATAATGATCATGTAAAAGTAAATATGACTTTTAGTGAATTCTCTTTGCTGGCAGCATCGATTTGGTTTCTTATCAATATTTAAATACATTTTGTAAATAAACCTCTAAGAAAATCAGCCTTGCAATTGTTCTCACTAACTGTGAAATAAACATCAATTAATTTAATATATCATACTAATTTTGGGGGCTCGTCCGGGATCACAGTAACTAGTGAGAAATAAGTGGCAAGGGAAGAAGACGAGTGTTCGGAAATATTAAAAACGATGAAGAGTTTTACAAAAGAAAAAATGGCAGACGACGAAGTATCAAACAACGGTGAGAAGGAGATTCAAATAAAACAATCAATCTTGACCGACGAAGAGGTTTAATTGCTCGACTAAAAGCTGCGTAAAGTGTTGAACGCTATCGGGATGACCCAGAAGACGACGAAGAAGTCGAAGACGAAGACGATGATGAAAACGAAGACGATAGAGAAAACGAAGACGATAGAGAAAACGAAGACAATGAAGACGAAACCGTTCCAGCGTTCAGAGCACCAGGATCCGGCACGCAACATCGAAGACGTGAGTCTGTACAGCAACCACAACTAACATTCAGGGATGTCGAGGAATCTCTTGAAAAGTTTAGCGGAGATGATTACATAAATGTCAATCAATGGATTGAAGACTTTGAAGAAACGGCAGACCTATGCGCATGGTCCGACGTTCAGAAGGTAACATACGCAAAGAGATTGCTAAAGGGATCAGCAAAATTATTCGTAAACCATGAGAAGTGCGTAAAGACTTGGGCAGAGTTGAAGAAAGCGTTAAAGGGAGAGTTCGATGAAGTCGTAGATAGTTAGCACATACATTAGGAATTGTCGCAGCGGAAAAAGAGAACAGATAAAACTCACCAACAATATGTGTATAGAATGTTGGAAATCGCGAGTCAAGCAATAGCTTTTGTTCTATCAAGACTAAACAAACAATAGTACGTGAAAGAAGTTGTAGTAGAGGACCGTATGTTTGTAGCTTTAGTAGATACAGGTAGCGATTTAATTTTTATGCGATCTAATGAATAAGAAAAAATAGGATCTCCTGTTTTGGTAACACGTAAACTTAAGTTTGAAGGTCTCAGATCCACTGGCAACGTAACACTGGGTGAGTTTACAAAAAGTATGAATGTTGACGGTGATGAATTTCTAGTAACGTTTCATGTAGTACCGAAGGAAATACAAGCACGGATTGTTGTTAGGAACCGATTTTTAAATAATGTTGAATTGCGTGTGCGACAGGTAATCGTATCCTTTTTAAAGCTCGACGATGTAAAATCGGAAAGTTGTCCATAAATTTTTGCCATAAATACTATCTCTGAAGCTGATGAAATCGAACTATCCTATATTAATGATAAATGTTACCGTGATGAGGTAAAGAAAATGATACATGATCAATTAGGTGCGTTACAAGGAGCGGAAATCTTTTCAACTATTAATTCAAAGAACGGGTTCTTCCATGTTCCAATGGACGTAAAAAGTCAGAAATTTACGTCATTTGTCACTGTATGAGTTCCTTAAAACATCTTTTGGACTATGTGTATCACCCATAATTTTCCAGGAATTTATAAATGTCATATATCAAGAAGTCATAAAAGAAAAAATAGTCGTGACGTATATGGATGATCTAATAATATTAGCCAATAACATGAACGAAGCAATGAAAAGATTGAAACAAGTTTTAAACGTGGCCAATCAGCACGGGTTAAACATTAACTGGGAAAAATGCTGGTCCTATAACTGCAGGAGAACATTTGTTTAATGAATTACAAATTAGAACGCCTAATCCTATAGAAAGTACTTTTGGGGTATGGAAAACCAAAAGTATTATAGTAGCTACAGCTGTTTTACATAATATAGCATAAATATTAAATGAAGTTTTACCACAAGTTAATCCTGAGGAACATACAACTATTCAACTTGTAAATAATGTAGTGATTGATAATGTCAGAGACATTCATAATGCTGCAAATAATATAGTGAAGCATCAGTTAATTAACAAATACTTTAATAATGTGCTGTAGCTAAGCAATACTGAATATTGCATCAACGGAACTATTTCATTTTCCATTTTAATTTTATGTGCAAATAATATAGTGAGATGTAAGTTAATAAATACTTCAAATTCATTTATTTTTTTCTATTTAACAGGCAACCTCATTACAAAATCATGTATATTGGGTTTAATTCATATAATTGTACAACTATATCTTGAACATTCTAAACTTAGTCTGCCTTTTCAAGACGTTACAACCCTTCCCAAACATATCAAAATCACTAAACTTATTCAAAAATCTTAAAATCAATAGTGGGTCATTATGATGAAAACTGTCGACAGAATACAGACCACTTCGAATTATTTTATTCGATTATGGTAACTTGTCTATCACTAGCAGCAATTCATTTCTCTAAAATATCAGTATTAGTAAAATATGGACATATGACAGGAAATTTGAAAATTGCAGTGCTTCATGGGTTACCAATTATTTTTATTTTTCTTAAAACAAAATGACACAAAATTGTTTATTTATGTATTAATGAATACAACAGTATATATATAGAGTCCGTACTTTAGGCACCCAGATTATATATTAAATGTAAATATGGCACCCAAATTTGCACTGTGACACCCACCATCGGGTACCACAGCCTTTCACAATGGGATTATGATATTTCGAAGCTGTCACCATCTGCAGACAAGAAAATGAAAAAATTGAAATGGTGCCAGTTTCACTACCTTTACCTGAGGACATACACTTTAGTTCAGTCTTTTCCCGTGATGCCGCAGTAGTGTAGATATACAGACATATACAATTTAATATAATACTACGATTAAGAGGCATCCAGTGGCATCTTCTTATGTTTTAGTCGTATGTGACGTATGCGGTCTAAAAATAGTCATGTTATCGTAAAACTACAGCGATAAGCACCTTTTTTAATTGCCAGACTCATCCAGTGAAAGCAAATTAAAAAAATAAAAAATAATGCGGTTTAAGTGTCGAATTAGGCATTTGTTGCATTGCGTTAACTACTTGTTTTAGTTCATATTGTGAATACTTGTTAAGNGAACGCGTTCTGGCTGTTTTTAAACGCTCGCAACGCGTGCTGGCAACTGTTAAACAGCCGGAACTCGTTTTGTCAATTGTTGTCGGGTATACAGTTAAAATTTGATTGTTTTTTCAACTTTCTAAATAAAAAATTTAATGTTCGACTTGTATTATTTGCCGCTTTTTACCTGCGTATAATGAGATTTATATTGTACTTATATAACAAATCAATTTCAATCCATTTTTCAGTTTTTAGGAAACAATTCAATTATTGACAACACAACTATAATTGGATACCAAAGATGGGTTCGGTTTTCCTGGCCGAATCATTTCAACAATATTAAATTTCTTATAATTGGTTTTCAGTTCTAGGAAGAAAGTTACACTGAACACTTATATTGTCGAGCATATGACATTTTTTCCGCTTGTTTTTTCAAATTCTTTTTTGCATTGTTTTGTTCAGTGCGAATAGACCTTTTCCTGTCACAAATGTTGCAAACAATCGCTTGTCCAAACCCTTCGCTTGTTGACTTTCCACAAATCGCATGCACAAAGTTGTCACATTCTGAACACTTGTGCGCTCCTGAAGATTCTTTTTCGCAGGTTATGCAGTACACTTTACTCGGCCATTATCAGTCTGGAGAATAAATGGCGCCCCAAACATGCAGAAAATGTCAACAAGGTGATAAGCAACTTCCTCAGCTGTTTTGGTCTTCAGTGGACGTAGAAGTGTGAANTTGTCACATTCTGAACATTTGTGCGCTCCTAAAGATTCTTTTTCGCAGATTATGCAGTACACTTTACTTGAGTCTTCGACGTTCTCCTTGTTCTTATCGCAATCCCCAACGTCGTCCAGAGACTGCAGTTTTGTAATAATAATAATAATAAAAAATAAAAACCCTTGATTTACCATTGATATTATTAATATATTTCAACAATTCTTCAAGCTCTTCAGTTTCGATGTTTGAATAAACATCTTCAGTCAAAGGAGAATCGGCAAGTCCAACTATTTGCGGGCTTCCAAACATAGCTTCGTAAGGACTCATTTTGATTCCAACGTGGAGGACACGATTTTTTTTACTTTGAATAAAGCGCAACCCCTCAGACCAATTTTTTGTTTTGTTGTCAGCCATCCAAGATACCAGCATGTCACGTACATCTTGATTGGATCTTTCCACAGATCCTTGGCTTTGGGAATGTCTTAGTTTTCCATGAACAAGTTTCATTCCAGGCCATAGTTCAGTCAAGTTTTTTATAATTTTGTTGGAAAATTCTCGGCCATTATCACTCTGGAGAATAAATGGCGCCCCAAACATGCAAAAAATGTCAACAAGGTGATAAGCAACTTCCTCAGCTGTTTTGGTCTTCAGTGGACGTAGAAATGTGAATTTAGTCAGGTGGTCTTGGTAATTCATGATGAAGCGGAAAGGGCCATCTGGTTCCGACTGCATATCTATAAGATCCACTTGGCAACGACAATTCATGTAATTGGAAAGAATTGGACGAACAACTAATAATACGGTTGTTGTCTCTAATATTTTTCATCATTTGTTGTTATCCTGTAAAGTATTTTACCCGAATTTAATTCACTGCAAATGTTTGGCACATGGTTTAAACCGAGTAGCAGAAGCTCTTGTTGCGGTTGGAATACCCATATAATATAACTGTATACCCGACAACAATTGACAAAACGCGTTCCGGCTGTTTAACAGTTACCAGAACGCGTTGCGAGCGTTTAAAAACAGCCAGAACGCGTTCTGTGCGTTTGAAGGCAGCCAGAACGCGTTGTGGCCGTTTTTTCCGGCCACTGAGCGTTTTCGGTCTTCGGGCCTAACATATATA